CACTTTGTTATGATTGGAGATTAATTTTTAATTTTTGTTAATTTTGGAGATTGGAGATTTTGAACGGATAATTCAGAGTGCCAAGAGATGTATAAGGAAGACCATTGGAAAGGTACGATTGACGTATGATGAGTTGACTACCATATTAGCAGAATTTGGACAATTTTGAACTCTTGACCATTATCCTTCATAGAGCCCGATGACTATGAGCAACCATTAACACCTTATCACTTGATCATTGGACGTTGAGTAATGAATTTACTTTCAGTGGAATCTGATGATAGTTTCGAAGAAGAATTCAAGATCACTAATGAGGAGTTGCGTGATAGAATGAAGCATTGACATGTCTTACTCAATCACTTCTGGAAGAGATGGTGCAGTGAGTATTTGATGCTACTGTGTTACTAATAGTACAGGGGCTTTTGTATGATTTTAGATAAACTAAAAATTAATCGTAAAAAATCAAATTTTGATTGGAATCAGCTCAAACTTTCTACGCAACATAAGTACATGTATATGCATCAGAAAATGTAATAAAATAGAGAATTTTCTCCTAGCTATTTTCCATGACATATACCCAGTACTGTATAAACTGATACCATTTCTTGTTATTTCTTCCACACAGACTCATCGGCAACAATATTTCCTGCCAATTTGCCCTGGAACAGTTACCTCATTAGTATTAATAATGTTACCCCACTTCAAATAAAGGCTCTCCAGAAACCCTCAGGCTCAATTTAAAAGGCGTTATATTAACTTTGATATCTTTCCTCCTGGTTCCTTCCTTAAACCTCGTCTATTCTGGGACCAAGAACCCCACAGTGTAGCACAATGGTACAAGATTTTTATTATTACCCGAGCCCACGCGTAGGCGTGGAAGCGAGGGTAAAGCAGTCGTCCTCTGTGTGTGTGTGTGTGTGTTCGCTTGGCCTCCACTTTTCAGTTTTGAGCTGACACTGCTTTCTTGTCTAGTTCTGGAGAGTCTTATAATCAACACTGGCTCTAGAAAAAGTTATTCTCCGTCTTGGGAATGCTATACTTTTCTTTTCCGTGGAGTAAGAAGCTGGCAAAGTCGCCAAACGTAGGTCGGTTCCCCGACAACTTTTTCATAGTGTGAGCAAAAGAGCAACTGGGCAGATAAAACAATAAAGCAAAGCCTCATCTTTCATTAATATGAGAGGAATTGCTGTAATCATCTTCGTTTTAAAGATATGGTAGCCCAAAAATTCATACTTTTGTGAGTTTACACGAGGCTCTCTTCTCCCGAAGTAGCGGCCAGAGTCTTTAAACATCAGGGGCTCAATAGACGTTTGTATGCAACAAATAGAGCCTAACAAATGTATGCTAAACGGTTTAAAAGTCGAGAAAAACTAAAGCTTTCTTCACCACTTATAGCCATGTGCCACCATTACTGTGTGTGCGGGTGGAGCATGGCTTGATTGAGCCACACCTTCATTGCAGCCACACCTTTACATTGCTGCAGCAGTGCAGCAAGCATGCTGGAGCTTCTTCTCTGTCTAAAAAACAAAAAATTCACTGTCTCAAAACATTCACTAAGTTTTTACATGCTGAAGCTTCTTTTCTGTGTCAAAACTTTCACTAATTATTTTTCTCTTAATTTATTAAAATTGTTACACACAGACTGTGGCGAGGGTATGCACTTTAGTGCTCTCGTTATTAATAACTAGCCATTTTATTAACTTTATGGGCGTGTCCAATCAATTAAATAAGTGTCATTAAGTGATATTAATAATTAATAGTCAGTGAAATAAGTAATATTAGTATTTAAGTGATATTAGTATTTAGAGCTCAGCTCATAAACAGAACAGTTCAATAATTATATTTATTATTGTCAATATTAATTGTCATTTATAATCTGATGGAGTTGATCATTGGACTGGGTTTTATTGAATATCTAGCAGAAGACATCTCTACCTGTGATGGACTGAAGAGAGAGGGAGAGAGAGAGAGGGGGTGAGGGAGGGAGAGAGAGAGAAGAAATAAGAGGAAAGTTAACTCGTACATCAAAAGTTTTTTTAGAAATTAAGTGTAAGTGTCTAGCTAGCAGGAAGAGAATATAATATCTGAGGTAGTAAGACATTCCTATATCAAATTAAAGGTTTCACTGTAGCTAAAATTGACCTACTAATTCCCACTATTGTAAAAGTACATGTACATATGTACATGTACATACATGCTGTACATTGTATGCACATTACCGTTGATGTGAATAGCTTCCATTGTTTGCTAGTTGTGATTGAAAATCACTCCATGATAAAGGAGCTGATAGCCTTCTGAAATATAATTAAAAAATAAATAAACAAACAAATAAATAAACAATACATGTTTATTTACCTTTCATTGATCATGGATTGATTAGAAGTAGGAGCAACTGACATTGGAACACTACAAACAGACAGAGATACATTATACACGAACACTAGATACATGTACCCTATTGTGGTCACAGTCTTTATACATACATGTACAATAGAATGGGACTAGAGGTGGCTTAAACTTAGTGAGCACAAAAATAACAAAAATTGTGCTGCATACAGTGAAATATTATTTGCATGTACATGTACTGAACTAACCCTTGATGTCTTGGATAAGCACTTGATAACAGGCCTGGGGTAATAGTAATATGTAATAGTAATTGTAATAGTAACGATTACAGGGCACCAAGTAATAGTAATAGTAATAGTAATAGAATCTTTGGCAACAGGAAGTAATAGTAATAGTAATAGTAATAATGGTCAAAGTAATATGTAATCTCAATATTACATAGCTATTACTTGCAGTGTTATACTAATGAGTAACACTAGGAAAATAGCAAGTTAGCCAGGAACTATTGCTCACTACTGAGGCTTATTATTGTAAATATAGCAAAGAATTCTTAATTAGAAACTATAAAATGACTTAGATTAACTTCAAAATTAGATTATTTTTATTAATAACCTATAAAAGTTTATGGCGTATTGTAATAGTAATTGTAATAGTAATATACTTTGTTGTAATAGTAATAGTAATAGATTACTTTGAAAAAAGGCTGTAATAGTAATAGTAATATAATAGTTAAAATTTTCAAGTAATAGTAATAGTAATAAATTACATTTAATTGTAATTGACCCCAGGCCTGCTTGATAATACTCTTGAACTACAAATAACACCTTGAAATAATAATAATAATAATAATAATAATAATAATAAATTTAATAATAATAATTGTACATGTTCGTTATTTTTAATAATAATAATAATAATAATAATAATAATACATTTAATAATAACAATTGTACATGTTCGTTATTTTTAATAATAATAATAATAATAATAATAATAATAATAATAATAAATTTAATTACCCATTCTCCCATCAATTGGTGGTGTCCTTATACTCAGTCTGCCAGGAGCAATCAGTGAGTTTAATACTCTCTAAAATAAATAAACAATATCAGCAACGAGACACCTACGGTGCTTGGATTCACTGCAGTGCAGTTACTCTTGCATTTATGTAAAAGCAATGAAACATGGGCTTCATCTCTATTATGCAGCATGATAAAGACAATGACCATGATTCAATGCTTTAATAATGCATGTTTTGCACTGACTAAAGTCAAAAGAGCTTTAAAAAACTAACACCTATTGTGATGGCACAGATACTGTTGTCTTGATAGATTATATTTGCCTAAGAGATCATGCATAAGACAGCAAAACAAAAAAAATGCATTAAGAAATGCAAGCATGTAAAATTGCCAATTATTAATAGAGGCATGGTTTCTTTGCCTAGCACTTAGTTTCTTAATTAAAAATATTTTTCAAAAATCTAATTAAAAATTCATGATCACAGACAGAGAACCAAAGTACTTAATACTCACCTACGCGGTGAGCCCAATTATAACACATGTACCATGGTTTTTTCAAAAAATGGCCCCAAAATAACCCCAAATTTTTAATACATTTTCTGATATAATACATATTGATGTCCTTACGCTGTGTAGAAAGTTTGAGCTGATTCCGACTTCAATTTTTCAAGTTAACTTGAGGCCATTTTAAGAAACACCAAAATTCTGAACATGCAATATACCATAGTCTCCTACCTTTCCACTGGGAGGTCTCGTTGATTCACCCTCAAGTCTCCTCTTCTCAACTCTTCCTCCTCCTCTTGCGGCTCTGAACAGAGCCCTGTTCCTTTCTTCAGCCCTTGCTCTAATGCAGGATAAAACTGCTGAGTCCTTGACAGCTGGCGTCATGGCAACAGTTGGTCTCCTAACGGTGGCTGAGGATACGAT